TATATATATTTATATTTTGCATATAGGCGCGCTTGTCAACCATCTCTTTTGTAAGGAAATGAGAGAACTCAGTCTTAAACATATACAGATATCAGTGTGAAATAGTATATATGGGAGCTAAAGATACTAAACAGATCTGTATATAGCATTTTGTTGGCAATGAGCATTGAGTTGCTAGTTGAAAAGGTCAAGGGGGGAGGGGGGCTGGGGTTAGCCTGGGCTCAATTAAACTATATTACAGTTAAACTAATTAAGATTTAAAAACTAACTTTGAAATGGCCCAGCGTTCAGCGGACAGAGGCAAGCAAGCGAGAGTGTCCACTTTAGTGAGTGCTGACTGTGCTTGAAGCGCCTGGGCACATTCACTGGGGGGCAGTGTGTCGTCCACTTGTTGGTTTTGCTTTTGCTACACGCACACATATACTAGTGCCTGTGTCTATGTCTGTGTGTATGTGTGTGTGTGCGTGCGCTACGAACTAAACGAATTTGCCAGCAAAAGGCAAAACAAATTGAATAATAATAATTAAAAATGTTAAAACTAATGCGAATACATATATGCATATAAATTGTCATAAACTAAGCGTTAAGTAGATTAGATTAATCAAAAATTAAAATTTGTTTAATTATTTAATTGCATAATTGTTTGGGATTTATGCAATTTAATCAGTCCACGGTTAAAATTATTTTATGTGTGTTTCCAAAAGATTTTCATGTTCTGCTATATATATATGTATATGTATATAAACATATATATGACATACACAGAGTTACAGTTATACATATACAAACACACATTTAATACATACATATACATATGTAGAGTTTCATATATATATTATTAGGGATTTTAAGAGCTTTCTCTATAGAGCCTTTTCTTCTTCTTCCTTTTCTACATATAGTTAGAAACCAGTTTCAAAATTGAAGCGCGAATATGTGGAAAATAAATAGTTCTTGATGTTGTTATGTTTTTTAATTAGTTTTTAGAAAATATTCATGTTTTCTTTGTTTTGTTTTTAACTGCTACACATTTATATATAGAGAGAGAGAGAGTTCTATAGTTTATTTTTTTTTTTTTATAGTTATACACAGAAAAAAAGTTAATGTGTGTGTGGTTGTGAGGTAAATTTGGCAAACAAATTTCTTGTTGTGTGTGAGAGTGTGTGTGTGTGTATATATATTTAATTTTTAGTACACATATATATATGTATATAATTTGTGTTTTGCACTAATTGCTAATTAATTTACATCGATTTTTTGTTTTTGTTTCTTAAAGCGCTTAAAATAAAAAACATTTTGCAACTTGTTTATTAGACCAAAAAATGTTTGCTTTCCTTTTGTTGTTGTTTTTTTTAATATTTAATTTTTAGTGTTTTGTCGTATTTTTTCTACCAATTTTGTCAAGCGCAACAAATTAATTTTTTGCTGCTTATCATAATTTTTTTGCGTATTTTAATTTGTTTATAATGAATTTGTTTTTTTTTTTCTCGAATTTGTTGTGTTTGTTGTTTGTGCCGCAAACAATTTCGATTGTTGTTTGCTTTGCTTTACTTTACTCTTGTTTCTTTCTTTCTTCTTTTTCTTTAGACTAGTTTCAGTTGAGTTACGTTACATTTTGTTTATTTGTTGTTTGTTTGTTGTTTTAGTTTCGGTGGTGGAATGCTTTAACTTTGAAACAGACAGCGCTGAGCAAAACTGTTTTTTGGCGCTTTAAAATTGTAATCGTTGTTATCCATTTGCTGTCCCGAAGGCGTTGTAGCGGAGCTGCAAGTCGCACGGCTCCTTGTCCATATTTGATATAGCTATATATAGCATACACATACATGTGTACGCATGTACATAGCTAGCTATTGTTGTTCAAGTTGTTGCTGTTGTTGTTGTTTGCTGAGTGTTGCTTTTGATATTTTAGGCAGCAATCGCCTCATTTTGCCGTCATTCCCATTGATGTGGCGAAGGCGGCAGCTCCGAAGGATGTGCCACAGTGGAGCTAATTTCGAAAATATTAAGAAAAAAAAACAAGAAGAGAAAATGCACAAATTAGTCATGTCTCAGATCAGAAAAGTTGTCACTTCAAATACATTTAGATAGAGCGTAGAGCACATGCAGCAAACTACCCAAAAAACTAATACATACAACATAAAAAGCCAGAGTAAAAAACCCGCAGTGGAAGCACTATAAACAATAAACAATAAACAACAAACCAGCATAAACTAATCAAAATTATAGATAAATGAAGTACATGAAGGGAAATTATATAAATTCAGATAAACTACATTTAAATAGATTTCGAGTATACAACCAACAAAACAAAACATAACGAAATCAACAATCAAATAATGTATATAATAAATGTATAGAATTTTATGTTAATAATTTAATTAT